ATGAACTTTGTGTTCAGTTTCAAATTATTGATTCGCAGTAATCCGTAATTACAGTAATTCGTAGCCTGAATTCAGTTGGTGGAAGCTGGTGGGAAGGAATTGGTTTTATTAGATTAAATTCTGGAGAGTTTTGATTATTGGCTGACGTATGTGTCTGTGCATTTTCTTAACAAAAAGTGTGTGTTTGCAAGGTGTTTGTGCTGTCCTGTTTCGGAGCTTATTAGGCTGTTCCCTGTCCTGCTCCTGCTTTGGTGGGTGATGCTTGCTGGCAGGGGCTGTGTTAGACACTTCAGTCCAGGAGCTGTGTGTGCCCAAAGCTGGTGCTCTCTCTGAGGAAGTCAAACTGTCTTCTTTAATTAATAGAGAACATTAAAGTTCAGAAACGTGCCCACCCTTACAATTCTTGCAGCTTTTTAGGGGCTTGGGCCAATCGACCTGACCTCTGCTCACAAATAATGACCCTTGCTGTAAAGCTCTGGGGAGGAAAAGGACTTTGTGTGTTACTTTTTCCCCTCCCTGTTGATTTGTCACATCTGTGGAGTTTATGGCTGAATCTCAATCTTAATGTTTTCCCAATAATCTGAATTTAAATTGGCTTAGAAACTTGCCCAGCCTTCAGCAGCCAGCTCTGGGGGGTGTTAGGAGCAAGCCGCAGAATTTGGTGCCTCTCATCTGGCACTTGACAAAAATATATATGCTGTTAGCAGTGTAATAGACAACTTTACATTCTAAGTTCTGGATTATCTGATCTATTATTACATCCAAGAGCCAGATATTGCTAAACACCAGTTGGCTTTGGTTTTAGTGGGGTTTTTTTGTTTGGTTTGATTTTGTGGTTTTGTGGGGTTGTTTTTTTGTTTTTGGTTAGAAATAACGAGCTGTTTAGGTGGCACCTGTCTCGCAGATATGTCAGAGCTGCCCTTTTTGCCTTCTTAGAATTTGCCAAAATTTATAGTGTAAAAATCTCCTCTCAAGGCATGTTAGTGAATGTTTTGGTGTTAATGTAATGAAACCAGCACCAGACTATTAAATTACTATGCAGTAAAAGGAAATATTAGCTTGAAATGTATTAATAAAAAAATGAAGCAGTTAAATGTAGCATGAGCTCTCTTGTGCTGGAGCACTTGATTTAACACTCATCTTGTTTTATTTTACAAATATGTTCCTCTCTGCAGTTGCTGTGGAACAAATGCAAGGAGCAGAAAAGGCCAGTTACAAAGCAATGGTAGCCACATTTACATATGTACAGAGTAAATGAGCTGTCAAAGGGAGATACTGTGCTCTTTCCTAATAATTCAGTTCTAGGGTGTTCAGTTGTCTCATGTGAAAATGGCCAATGTGCTCAGGCAAATAATCACTTTTTTAATTAGAATTGCCATTTAGAAATTATCTTAATCTACCAAGTGTTGGGAGTTTTTCCTCCATGAGATGCAGTTGCAACTTGAATTCTGCAATTCAGTATGGAAGCAGGGTATCCATATTTTAAAAATAATATAGTAAAAGAGATTACATCCTTGTAGAGAAACATCTTTTGAGTGTGACTTTCCAGAGACGCTCTAGTCTTAACCTTGTTTCCCTGTCCTCAGATGTAATTTTCAATTGTTCATGTCTGTGTAAACTCCTGGTGAGTTTAGAAGCCTGATTCATATGATCATTTTTCCTCTGCTGTAGAAACATGGAATTAGAGCCTGTAGCTTTGGGTGCTTGGGGGTTTACAGGTGATTCTGTCATTTTTGTTCAGACAAACCTGATCTTGGAAGAAATCCAAATTTCCTTTGCAGCACTTATTCCTATAAAAGGGCCAAAAGTTTGATTTTTTTTTTACCTTTTCATTTTAGGTCAACTGAGAGAACAGCTCAGCTACCTCAAAGGAGATAACTTTTTCAGATTTACTTGCTCTGATTGCTCAGAAGATGGGAAGGAGCAATTTGAACGTCTGAGATTAACATGGCAACAAGTAAGTGAAATGTTTGTGCCAGTAGAACAGCCGTGGGACTTTCTGAAATTGTTGGTTGTTGTGTATATGCTACCTGGAAAATGAGGCTTGGGTATTGGTAACAAAGGAACATTTGAATGAAATTCAGAAATTAATTAGCTGAGGATTGCCTGCACATGAGAACTTCAGCATTTGGCAAGGAAATTGAAAGATAATCAGACAAACCACATTCCTTTTCTTCTT